CAAACTGTTCCACTACACTACATGCTGTAAGCACCACAGGCCCACAATACACAGAGACCCACTTTATCAACCACCCTGTCTCCCTGTCTTCTCCTCCAGCTGGATTCCAGCAGGTCTACCTGGAGCCATTGCTGAAGTTCCACATCAGCTTGAAGAAGCTGAGGCTGCACGAGGCCGAATACGTTCTGCTCCAAGCCCTGGTGTTGTTCTACCCGGGTAAGTCCTCCGCATCCCAGTAGTAGCAGATTGCACCATCACCACCCTTTCTGAAAGGCAAGAGGTCCCCACGCCTGCTCGGTTAGAGCATTGGACTAAGACCTGGCAGACCAGGGTTCAAATCCCCACTCAGCCAGGAAGCTCACTGGGTGACCTAGTCACAGCCTCTCAGCCTGGCCTGCCCTGCCTCACAGGATTGTTCAGAGGAGAACATGGAGATAGAACCGTACACGCCACCTAGAGCTCGTTGGAAGGAGAGGTGGAATAAAAATGTGTGTCTGTATGCGGGTGTGCTTATATATCTGTGATTAAAAATAAATAAATATTTTTTGTTAACCGCAGTATCATACAGGCAATGGCCAGTCGATGCACGGCCCATTTGGCGTTGCGCCAAAGCTGGAAGTGTCTTTAAAATTCTCAAAAAAGGGCCCTAAAAGAGCCCAGAAAAGGGGGGAAAGGCGCTTAGCAATCCTGCAAGCCTTTGCAAGTACAATCCCATGAGCCTTTGCACTGACCGTTGAGGCCCATGGAGAGTTGGGAGTTTGAGCGAGGAGGTTGGGAGGGAGCAATGGGGGTGTTTGCAGGCTTCCCCAGTGGTGTTCCCAATATACGTAATTTCAGTTAAACGTGGTGCCTCGTGCCTTCGTAAATGGGGAGTGGCCTGTATCTCTTATTCCCGTGATTAACAGAATCTCAAAAGAGATCCACAGAAAGCTTGGGTGAAGTGCTGTTTGCTCATATATGTGTGTGTGTGTGTGTGTGTGTGTGTGTGTGTATGTATACACCGTAGATTCTGGAATATTAGGCGACTGGGCGTATAAGACAACCCCCCAAATTGACAGTGCCAATTTGGGGTTTTGTCTTATAAGCCCAGTCTTATATGCTGGGCAGGAGGAAGTCGCCCGGTGCCCACTGCTGCCTCGGAGGTAGTACCCGGCGTATAAGATGACCCCCGACTTTTTAACCTCTTTTCTGGGGTTAAAAAGTCGTCTTATATGCCGGAATCTACGGTACACACACACACACACACACACACCCCCCACACACAGCACAGTATGCCTACCTCATTCTTTGTTTCAAGAGGTCTGGCACTTCTAGACAAGAGCCTCTGGGTGCATGCAGAGTACATCTTCCTCAAGAGGGGGACATTTTTCTATGTGCCTCTGAGCACGCACTAAGTAGCAACCCATTTGGGTGGGTGGGTTGTTGTTTTTTTGCCAGCGCTCCCTTTGGGTAAGAGGGGGATTCCTCACCCTTTGCCCCATATCTCCTCTGCCTTGTCTCTCACTGCCCAAGCCTGCGACTTTGCAGACCACATGGACGTCACGCAGCGAGAGGTGATTGACCAGACCCAAGAGAAAATCGCTCTAACTTTAAAAAACTACATTGACCAGCGACATGCTCTGCCTGAAGGGAGGTGAGCAGGGAAAGCGCTTTGTGGCGGGTGGTGCTCTCTACACGGGGTGGGGAACCTGTGGCCGTCCCGATGTTGCTTGGGGGCTTCCAGACGGGCTCTTTATTTTGCAAATGTGATTGTTTTCGTTCAACCGGTATGCAACTGACCACACTCCCTGTATTTTAGTATTGCCATGGGTGTTCTGCTGTAGTCAGTTTTTCCACAGAACATTTCTGTTATGTATTTTCTGACCTGTCCCAACAGTTAATACTTCTCCACTCTCTCACAAACCCAACTTTCCAGCCCCTAGTTATCATGCAATGGGCAAAATGAAGGTTTGTGCTGTTTGTGTGTTTGTGCTGCAATTCCCAGTGGTTTAGCAATCAATCCCTCTTCCCAGGGGACTCTGGGAACTGTTCCTCTGTGAGAGGAATAGGGGTCCCCATAGGAGCCAACTCCTAGGGGCCAAGGTCCCTTCACCCCCTCCAATAAAACATTTGAAGGGGCCACCCACCCAAAGTTGGCAGGCGTTGCCATTCAAATGGTGTGTGTGCATCACGTTCTGCGATTGATTATGTGGGGCGGGGCTTAGCTGGGCCCCTCCCCATGTTTTATCCAAGTTGGCACCCCTGCTCAGCACAAACTACATTTCCCAGGATTCTTTGGAGGAAGCCATGATGTCTTAAAGTGGTATGATACTGCTTTGTGGAGGGAGTGTGCAGTGTGGATGGAGGGCCTTAGTCTTTTAAGATCCCTTAAGCAGCCTTTGCTTAACCCAATGAATCCTGGGAACTGTGGCTTATTAAGGGTGCTGAGAATTGTTAGGAGACCCCCTATTCCCCTCACAGGGCTAGAATTCCCAGAGTTCCCTGGGAAGAGGAATGGATATTGTTAAATCACTTCGGGAACTGTAGCTCTGCAAGGGGGTCTCTTGAACAACTCTCAGCGCCCTTGGCAAGTTACAGTCCCCCAGGGTGATTGGGGGAGAAGCCGTAGCTGCTTAAAGCAACGTAACATGAATGTGTGGTGCTGATGGGGCCCTAGGTGGTGCTCAGGCAAGGAGCCAATGGAAATGTGGCGTGTGTAATAGAGAGCACCCACTCAAACTATCAGGAACGGCAAGGACTGATGGCTGCCTCCTTCTCCCTTCCACTTCTCCAGGTTCCTCTACGCCAAACTTCTCTTGTTGCTGACAGAGCTGAGGACACTGAAAGTCGAAAATACGCGGCAGATCCTCCATATCCACGACACCCAGGACCTCACCACCATGACGCCCCTGCTTTCAGAAATTATCAGCTGAAAGCTTGCACCAGGAGAGTGCTGCATCTTTCGTTCATGTTTTGCTTCAGGTGTAAAAAGGGACATATGTGCTGGAAGACCGGATCCAGAAGTTTCCCAAGACTTCTCTCGAGATCCGGTAGTTTTAGGGATCTGCTGAAAAGCCAGGCATTGCTCCCTTCCGCTGCTACCCTGAGCAAGGGCTGGTTACTTTTGCAGAACTGCAGTCCCTTCCCCCTCCATCTGCTGCAAACCCATATTTCCCATCCCCCCCACTCCTCCACAAACAATCTAATCTTCCTTCCACAGCTAATCCAATAGCAGCCAACCCTGTTCCTCCCATCCTCACCCCCAAACTGATCCTGGCTTAGCCAAGCATCATCATGAGCCTCCTTGCAGCCAACCTTGTCTGATCCACTGATCCTCTCTAAGCTCCCCCTGCGCTGCCCCTCGAAGCCCTCTTTAGGCTTCCGAGATCATGAAAGCAAAGCCCGACTGCCAGGGCCCCACCCCCAGGCAGAGAGAATTTCAGGGCAGCTTTTGTATATCAAGCTGGTGTCCTGTGGGAGGAAAAGAGCTCCCCCCAAAAAGTGATGGCATGTGTGTGTGTGTGTGTGTGTGTGTGTGTGTGTGTGTGTGTGTTTTAATGTGTTTAGTTACAGCTCGAGAATGATTTCCGGGGGCACATCAGATGCAAGGCCGGGGCCAGACAGAATCAGTACAGGCACCTAGGAGCAGCAGGCTTCAGAGTATGGAAAGCTATCTTGTCTACTCTGCACCTAGACTCTTTTGGCAGCACTTTAAAAATGAGGCAGTGCCATTTTTGCTGCAGCACACACTTTTCCAAGTGACGTTCGAGTAAGAAAATGTGATGATGATAATACAGTGGTGCCTCGCAAGACGAAATTAATTCGTTCCGCGAGTTTTTTCGTCTTGCAATTTTTTTCGTCTTGCGAAGCCCGTTTTTGGAAAAGCTTCAAAAATCACCAAAGTCTTCAAAAACCTCAAAAAAGGCTACCACACCGCATGCTATGAGTTGCTCCTCGAAGTCAAGTCACAACTCTATTAACGGTGTTAAGAAAAAGGAAGCAAACTTGCAAGACGTTTCCATCTTGCGAAGCAAGCCCATAGGGAAAATCGTCTTGCGAAGCAACTCAAAAAACCAAAAACCCTTTCGTCTTGCGAGTTTTTTGTCTTGCGAGGCATTTGTCTTGCGAGGCATTCGTCTTGCGAGGTATCACTGTAATTTATTACTTATGCCCTACCCATGTGACTGGGTTCCAACAGAATAAGCACAACAAAACATCGGACATTAAAAACTTCCCGATACAGGGTTGCCTTCCAATGTCTTCTGAAAGTCGTATCATTATTTATCTCGACATCTGATGAGGGCGTTCCACAGGGCGGGCGCCACTACCGAGAAGGCCCTCTGCCTGGTTCCCTGTAACGTCACTTCTAGCAGTGAGGGAACTACCAGAAGGCCCTCAAGCTGGCCAGAATTAGTTACTAACAGACAGCGTACAAGAGGGTTCCAGCTAGCTCTTTGTGAGATTTCTTCAGGGGCAAGTGAATTGAACTGCAGCTCAAAGGCTTGAAGCCTTGATAAAATTTGCTCCTAATACACCTTTGAGGTCTCCTGTTTCTTTTCTTCATTCCTACGCTGAGCTCTTCCATGACCCCCAAGGAATTTTAACAGAACATAACAGCAGCCCTGCTGGATCACCCCCAGGATCAAGATGAAAATTCTGTTTCCCATCCAATGGCTTTGAGGACGTGAATGTTTTTGGGCTACAACTTCCATCATCCCTAGCTAACAGGTCAGGCATGATGGGAATAGTAGTCTTAAAAATAGTAGTCTAAAAACAGCTGGAGACACAAGTTTGGGAAACCCTGCTTTAGAAGAAGTCAGCTAATATATTGGATGCAATGCCTTAGTTTTCTCCTGCCTGGGACTGGGTGGGCAAAGCACAGTGGTACCTTGGGTTACATAAGCTTCAGGTTACATACGCTTCGGATTACAGACTCCGCTAACCCAGAAATATTACCTCAGGTTAAGAACCTTCCTGCAGGTCCCCCAAATAAGCACCAACAAGACACACATTTTTGAGGGGAGGGGTGGGATGTCCCCAGCATGATTTTAATTGTATATTCCAAGCCATCACTACACAGAAGCCACACCCCTTGCCCTCGTCACAGTCCCAGGCAAAGGGAGTGGCACGATGCCCACATGCATGCCACCCTCTTCAAAATTCAGAGTTTGGGGCCAGAACTGACGTAGTGATGGCATCGATTCCCAGTTCCTCAAGGGAATGCCAAGATTGACATCCTCCAAGCCCCAGCAAACGAAGGCATCCATCCTTCCACGAGCCCCATGCCCCGTCACCCACACCATAACATCTGCCGCGGAGTTTATGTCTTGCACGATCTGGAAGAAAACAATACATGGCCATGTTTCCGCAGGAGAGCGCATCTCCCTCCCTGCCACACCAATAACAATAAATGTCCTTCTGGAGGCAAAAAAAAAAAATTAAATAAAAATCCGTGGACCTCCTCAAGGCAGGGCTGTGATGCAGACACTCTGAGAGGATGCTGGGGCCCCCCAAATCATCGCTGCCCCACTGCAGAAGTCTGTGGTGAAGTTCCCCGCTCTGCCCACACAAAACACACAGACACACGGACAGAACGGGGGTCCCCTCTGACCAAGCAGCTTCGCAAAATCAAGTCCTACTGCCTGGCGCAGTCGAGAGAGATGGATCTTCAGGGCGCTCAGCCCACGATGATGCTGAAGCCGCAATGGAACCGGTTCTTCCAGTGGTTGAGGAAGGCGCCCAAGGCCAGGGTGACGGGCAGAGGGGGGAGCTTCTTCTCCAAGACAGCTCCCACACACCAGCTGCTGTCCAGGAAGCCTAGAAAAGGAAAGAGGGGGCACATTTTGTGTAGGTTTAAATATTTACAAACTGTAATTTGATATATATATATTTTAAAAAAGGATAATAAGGCAGCAGGGCCCTATGGGAAAATATAGTATTACTACAATAGGGTTGCCATATGTCTGGAATTTCCCATATGGCACTCGGAAACAGTGTCCGGGTGGAAATCACTGCAATGTCTGGGGAAATCCGGACTTGGGCAACCTGTGTTGGAAGTGTCAAATTTGGCAAATTTCCTTAAAAATAGCTCAAAAACTTCATTTTGTTGTTGGTGAGATATTGGAAATATGGCAACCCTATTAACTGTAACATCCATAAAGATTGGTTAGTAAAACACATAGAGAGAGAGAGAGAGAGAGAGAGAGAAAGAAAGAAAACTGTCTGAACTGTATGGTTTTTAAATGGTGCCTCAAAGAAAGCAGGGTGGACTTCTGCCGGCCTTCACAGGGGAGCTCCTGTCACACTAGGGACTCAGCTCCTGGTAAAGGCCACCTGAACCTTAGGGGAGTGGGGGACCCCCAAGTTAAGATGGCAATAGCACCCACCCAGTTTACAATTCCCCACTGCCGGAACTTCTCAAGCAAGCTGCTGAGATACAGTCTATCTCCGCTCTTAAAAGTCTGGCCAGTTTTTCTCAGACTCCGCTGGATGGCCTTAAGAGACCCCAAGCTTGGCTTCAGGAGAGCCTCACACTCAGGGAAGACTTCCAAGATGGGACATCTCTCTGACAATCTGCTTAAACCTTTCCCTGGGATTCAGCTCCTGGCTTCCTCAATCACCAGCCCTCCTCCTCCAGCTCAGACATTTCTCGAGGCCCCAATTTTGTCCTCTTCATGCTGCTTGGGGTCATCTAGCTGCAACCTCCTGATTTCTTTCCCCCTCATCTCCTCAGGATGTTCCTGTCCCCCCCCCTCCCATGACACATCCACAGGGCTCACGACAGACAGGAACTCAGGTTCCCTATCCCTGCCAAACTCATTTCCTGTCGATATACGATATACGATATCTTTATTGTCATTGTCCCATGCAGAACAATGAAATTGGAAAACTACATAAAACTACTACAAAACTACATAAAACTACTACAAAACTACATAAAAACTATATAAAACATTCAAAAACCCCTAAAAACTCTGAAACCCCATTTAAAAATATACTATACTATACTATATGCTGCATTTAGAACCAGAATTGCATTTGCATAGAAACTGTTTCTCAGGCGGCTAGTCCTGGCCTTTATAACCCTGTACCTTCTTCCAGAAGGCAGGAGCTGAAAGAGATCATTTCTGGGGTGCATACTATCTTGTCACAGGAAGACAGGCAATGGCGAATGAAGGAAGGGCTTATGGGAAGCAGGGCCTGTGGCAGGAAGGTTCAGGCATTTGATCACACTCTGGCCTCGCACAGGGAGGGGGTCCCAGCCCCTCGCTCACCTCTGAAAACCATGTTGGCCTGTGGCAGCGTGAGCTGATATCCAAAGGCAAAGCTCGTGTCTTGAAGCCGAGTGTTGGCCTCAAATTCTACCCCGACCTGAATCTGTTGAGGGGGAGAAATCAAGAGGTCAGACTTGGCTAAAGAAAAAGTGGGCAATGAGCGGGGGGCGCCGAAGAAACTCCTTTTTGACTCACCTGGTCATTGGCACGGTGATAATAACTGGCGTGAGCCCCGCCATAGCCAAGGTTCAGGGTAGCTATCCATTTGAGGGCTACAGAAAAAAGGGAAAAAATACAGCACAAAGGAACACATTGAAATTCATGTACCCCAATGATGGTTTTTGGGGGGTTGTGGGGGGAGCAGATTTGTGTGGCTTATTGACATCTTTGTAACAACACCTCTATCCTGTCTCTATTCCTGGCTAAGAGTGTGCCAGATTAGGGATTGTTAAGACTACGCAGACACTTCTTGACGCAGCTTTCCTGGCTACAGGATTCCACCTGAAGCATTATACAGTTTTCCAGGGAAACCAAAATATCTGCTGTCAGACTGGGCTGCTGTTTTGAGGAAGGGGGAGTAGAATCCTTAGGAAAAAAGGAGGGAGGGTAGATCCTTTTCCTTGCCTCTCCTTCCACCTTCCTTCAGAAAGTAAAACACATTTATTTCACTAAGGGTGCTGAGAATTGTTAGGAGATGCCACCCCCACCCCCCGGTGTTCCCCTCACAGAGATACATCCCAGAATTCCCTGGGAAGAGGAGTTGATTATTAAGCCATCCTGGGATTTATGGCTCTGTGAGGGGAATAGCTCTCAGCTCCCTTAGCGAACTACAGTTCCCAAGATTCCTTGGGTGCCAGTAATTAAACATGACTGTTTGGAAGAGGTACAATAGTTAAAGGTATGGTGTGGATGTGGCCATCACCTGGGAGGCCACAGGTTTCTTCATCCCTGCTCTCTCATAGATAGATAGATAGATAGATAGATAGATAGATAGATAGATAGATAGATAGCAGCCATAAACTGATTCTACCCTTGATACTAAGCCTCTGGCACAGAGAAGCATTTGGACATGCAGGCTTCTTCCTGCCACATCCCGAAACAGGAAAGTCTGAGGGCAACTGAGAAATGAGCCTTTCTGCAAGTGTTTCAATCAACTCGGTGTGCTCTTGTTCAGGTGTGGGGAACCTTTAGCTGTCCCGATGTCGGCTGGACTACAACTCCCATCAGCCCCAGTCAGCATGGCCAAGGACCAGGGATTATGGGTGATGTAGTTCAGCAAACACCTGGAGGGCCGATCACATCTGATGCTGAATTGGGCAATATCAAGAAGCAGCTCTTTGAAGAACCATGATGGAAAATGGAGGCCAAGTATGTGGGGGACCAGCGCCTGCCCCTCGAGTCACGCCCCAAACCTTCAGCAAAAGGAAACCAACCTGTGTACTTCCCAGCAAGCGTGACGATGGCCCCTTCTTCCCCCGGCCGCCGGTGGTACACCATTTCCCCGCCAAGGACTAACCGCGAAGTGATGCTCTGCAGGAAGTGTGCCACGACAATGACTGCAAAGAAGGAAGAGCAAGTCAGTGTGTCCCCCCAAAAAGAAGACTTGCATGCAGCTGCAAAATAACCAAAACCCTTTGGTGAAGAGCTGTGGCTTAGTGGTAGCACATCTGCTTTGCGTACAGGTTCAATCCCCAGGATCTCCAGGCAGAGCAGCGCTGGGAGAAATCACTGCCTGGAACCCTGGAGAGCCACTGCCAGTCAGTGCAGGCAGTATGGCGCTAGATGGACCTGTGGCCTGACCCAGCATAAGCCAGCTTCCTGTGTCCCCTCTTAGACTGAGCTAACCAAGTGTTGGGGCAGCTACAGCAGAGATGAGCAACCTCTTGGCCTCCAGATCTTGCTGACCTTCCAATTTTTCCCTTATCACTAGCCATGCTGACCAGAGCCGATGAATGTAGAAACAAATAAAATCTGTGAATAATGGGAGGGAAGTGTATTAAACCTGGGAAAGTAGATAGTGGTCTGTTTTGTGAAAAGGGAACTGCATAACAAGGGAGACTAGGAGATTTTTTTTCTGGATGCTTGTGAGGTTTGTAAAACTCAGATATTATGAATGAGAGGATGTTATTGAGGAAATATGATTTAAAATTACGATTAATGATTTATATGGACAGATTAGCTCTACTTGATTAAGTGGGGAAATAGAAAAATGTCTGAGCAGGAATTGAACATGCAGAGTCAATGGAAATAGCAATGGATGGGCAAGTATTATAAATCAAGAAAAAAGTATTTTACTGTGAGCAGCAAAGAAGGGTTGGAAAAGAAGCTGAGGCTGATGGGAATTGCAGTCAAGCACCAAAGGTTCCGCATGCCTGCTCTATAGGTCACACCAACTTTGGTCCATCAGCACGGACAGAGGGAACTTTTTCTAGTCCGAAGGCAACCTCCCAAGAGCTGTCACATGCCAGCGACAGGCAGGCCAGAGGCCAAAGTAGACAAAGCAATGCATGCAAATTTGTACTTTGCACAGGAGGCAACCTTCTAAACACACAAACACATCTCTGTCTCCTCCACCCAGGCAAGCCAAGAAGCATTATCAGAGTTCAAGGGCATGATCTAGCTAGGCAAAAACACCTAGGCGGAGGGACAGCAGGGCCAGGGAGGGCTGTGGCTTGGGCAGAGTTTTGAGCAGAGCCTGGGAAGTTCATTTTAAAAAGGAACTAGTTCAAGTTCATCATGTCCGAAAAGGAACCTCATTCCAGTTCATGTCTGTCCCTTAATGAAACAACCTTCAACAACGTTCAGTAGTTCATTCAAGTTATCCAGGGCAATTTGCCTGTTCCCAAACCCAGCATTCAAAATGCTGAAATTTAATGGAAACTTAAGATGTTTTTAATTGTGGCTGCTTTTAGAATGCTTTTACCTGGAACTGCTTTGAGAGGTTTTCAACTGTTGCTGTTTTACTTTCTTCCAGAATGTTTTTGCTTGATCTTTGTTTTTATTTGTTTATTAGATTTATTTATTAACTCTATATCCTCATTAAGATATCAGGGCGGTTCACAGAGCAAAAACAGGATAAAAACATGAAAAATAAGTAAAACAAAACAGCGAAACAATAACCTCCACCATTCCCACAGATGAATTCAAAAGGCTGTAGAATATTAATCCATTTTAAAATTGTGCAAATCCGTTTGCCTCGGCTCCTTGGGAGAGGAAGAGTGGGACAGGAATTCAATAAAGAAATAAAATAACACACTAGTCAGGAGTTGAGGACGGATGCAAATTTGTCCCACCCGGGGTGGGGGGGCAACTGCTAGGCTGTTACTCCACCCCTCTCCAGGCATCACTGTAGGCCACAAAGAAGCCATGATGTTCTTGCCCCATGTTAGAAGCTGCCACCAGGTGACATAGGGCCTCTAGCAGGCCCTACATTACATGGTAGAAACTCCATCCTTCTCTAGGGTTGGTTGCTAAGCAACACAGCAGCTGTGGGAGAGTCGCCCCCTCTAGTGGTCATTCGAGGGAAACATTGGTCTTGGGGGCTCCCTCCCATTCTAGGCCTCCAAACGTCTTTTCATTCTTTTTTTACTACGTTTATTTACCACCTTTTCCTCTGAGGTGGTTTACATGGTTCTCTTTTTCCCATCTTAACCTCACAACAACCCCTGTGAGTTAAGTTAGGCTGAAAGACACTGACAGGTCCAAGGTGACCTACCAGATTAGGACTAGCCGCCTGAGAAACATGTTTCTATCCAAATGCGATTTTGGTTTTAAATGCAGTGGAAGGTAGTCTCTATGTGAGCATATTGTATTCAATTATGGGGTATCAGAGTTTTTAGGGGCTAACCAGGCTGGGATAGTTGGGATAGCAGGCTTGTTGGTTTTTGAATGTCTGGTGTTTTCAATTTCGTTTTCAATTTCATTGTTCTGTATGGGACAATGACAATAAAGATTATCATATCGTAAGTGAGCTTCGTGCCCAGTGGAGATTCAAACCCAGACCTCCTAGGTCTTAGTCCAACACTCTTAACCACTACACCAGGGCTTCCCAAACTAGGGTCTCCAGCTGTCTTTGGACTACAGTTCCCATCATCCCTGACCAGTGGCCGTGCAAGCTAGGGATGATGGGAATTGTAGTCCAAAAACAGCTGGAGACGCACATTTGGGAAACCCTGCATGGTGTCCTATTTATTCTGCGTTCATCCAGAGGGTCTGGCTCCCTCTCACTGCCTGCCTGCCTCTCTCTCCATTATGTCAGCCTCTCTCTCTCTCTGCCTGCTCTCTACATTTGTACAGGCAACTCTCCATTTGCGCACGTTCAAGGCACACGTGACCACGAACATGTGCATCACGTGAACCCGGAAGGGGCAAAACGGCCCCCAAAAGAGCACGAAAATGGCACAAAAACAGTGCCTAGCAATCCCACAACAAGTGCAATCCCATGAGCCTTTGCACTGACCGTTGAGGCCCATGGAGAGTTGGGAGTTTGAGGAAGGAGGCTGGAAGACAGCAACTGTGGCGCTTGCAGGCTTTTTCCAGTTGTGCTCCCAATATATGTGATTTCACTTAAGTGTGTGGTGCTTCAAAACGTAACCACCGCATAAATGGAGAGTTGCCTGTATCTATCTATGCACATGCACACACATTTGTATATTTTCCTTGACAAGCTGCCAACCAAAGAACTAAGTTGTTTTTTTTCCAAAGAGGGGCGGGCAGGATGCAAACAAGCCTACGGCAATTGCAAAAGGTTGCCAAGATGGCAGACGGGCACTCACTCACTCGACTCGCTGATCAAGTCAGGGTTGCCCAGTGTCAGGGTGGCCGTGTAGTCATCTCCCCGGTACTCGGTATCAAACTGCCAAGTCATGAATTTGGACTGCTGAGTCTGGAACACAAAAAGGGGGGGGCGGGAACAGGGTTGGGCATGGACTATTACTCAAAACGAGTTTACAGCCTAGTTCTCAGACATGCAAAAGCTCCCAAGGGACTGCAGGTCAGGGCTGCAGGGATGGGGGACCACAAATTGGCAGAGGCTGGTCCATTAGGGCAAATGGGGCACTGCCCCACCCATCTCGTCTGTGTCCCCCCCCCAGCTGCCACCTGCCTGCCTTACCAACCACCAGTCCAGAAGGTGACAGTACAGTGGTACCTCTGGTTATGTACTTAATTCGTTCCGGAGGTCCATTCTTAACCTGAAACTGTTCTTAACCTGAAGCACCACTTTAGCTAATGGGGACTCCTGCTGCCGCCGGAGCACGATTTCTGTTCTCATCCTGAAGCAAAGTTCTTAACCCGAGGTACTATTTCTGGGTTAGCAGAGTCTGTAACCTGAAGCGTCTGTAACCCGAGGTACCACTCTATGGCCTGCCAGCTTCCCCCCTCCTTAGTCTCAGTGTTGCCACTTACAGAACTCAACAGCAGGGAGGAGGGTGGTGGCAAAACGAGAATTACGGTATTTGGCTCTGCTTGTCTTAGCTCTGGCGCCACCCACTGTTGGGCTCCATGGCTTCCGCCCTACCAGCCCCAACAGGTACCAGCCAAATGCTGCTGGGCTCCGATTCCCATCAACCCCAGTCAACAATATCTGGAGGGCCCCAGGTTCCCAGTCCCTGATTTGCAGCCTCTTCAACCTCTCAGACAGGATGCCGTTGTTAACGTGACAAAGCCGCACAGGCGTGTGAGATGCCACCTCTGAATTTATTTATTTAGGATTCATTTTTATTTATAAAAATATTTGCATACTACCAATTCATAAACAATATACATAGTGTAAAATGCCATTAAAAACAGGGTAGGGGGAGAGATAAAAAGGTTAAGGGACCCCTGACCATTGGGTCCAGTCATGACCGACTCTGGGGTTGCGGGCTCATCTCACTTTATTGGCCGAGGGAGCTGGCGTACAACTTCCGGGGTCATGTGGCCGGCATGACTAAGCCGCTTCTGGCGAACCAGAGCAGCACACAGAAACGCCATTTACCTTCCCGCCAGAGTGGTACCTATTTATCTACTTGCACTTTGATGTGCTTTCGAACTGCTAGGTTGGCAGGAGCAGGGACCAAGCAACGGGAGCTCGCCCCGTCGTGGGGATTCGAACCGCCGACCTTCCGATCGGCAAGTCCTAGGCTCTGTGGTTTAATCCACAGCGCCACCCGCGTCCCTGGGGGGGGGAGATAGGGTAGTTTTTTTAAAAATTAACCGTTGCATAGGCCTGTTGCTTGCCATCGAACACTCACAAAAATATACACTGATGAGTTTTCAGCCTGGCAAAACCGAAAGCATTAAGATCCTGCCTTCAAGCCCGTTGGCCTCAGACCCAAACACTCCCTGTGTAGTTTTTACCTGGAATACAGCTTTTGTCCGTATCCGCTCAGCCAGTAGGTGGAGCACCTGAGCGTTGAGGCTCCCAGCATTATTAATGTCTCCAATGAGTGTTGGGAAGGCCTATGATGGAAGCAGGGAGAAGGTAAGGAGAGCCAATGGCCCATCTCGTCTCGCCATCACCAAGCACTGAAATTTAGCACCAAAGCAGCACCTGAGCTAGAGAACAGTCTCCCCACCTGTGTGCTCCAGCAACTGGCATTCAAAGGAAGGAAGACTGAATGAGTTAGAAACCCATGCTCAAGAGAACAGATGGCGCATAGATGCTGCCATTTTTTCCTTCCACCTTATTCAAGATGGCGTCGGGGTGAGCAAATGTGCATGCCAGGTATCATTCTGGAAGCACCTCTGCCTCTGCAGAGGTGGTGACTAAGAAGCAGGATGGAAGGAAGGAAAGAGATGCAGCTTTTTCTTTGAGGGAGTGGGAATTTTGGGTAGAAGATATTTATTTCACTTTTAACTTGTATATAGCCTTTCAGTACACAAGGAGGCTTACAGGAACTAAATATACACACCTTATAGTAATCTGATCCAATACAGAAAGTCATAATGAAACATAACTTCAAAAGTAATATTCAATAATCGACTGGAATATAATAGTACACAATAAAATTAATTCTCAAATCAGCAGCAAATAATAATTAAATGTAAAATTGGGGGACTGGGCAACCTGTGGCTTCATGGAATGACCCTGAGTTCAAGTTCCACCTTGGGCAAAAGATTCCTGCCTTGCAGGGGGTTGGACTAGATGGCCCTCGGGGTCCCTTCCAGCTTGAGAATTCTGTGATTCTAAGCATCATGACAGAGCCTCTCCTTATCTACTTTCTCCATCATGCCCATTCCCCCTTTTCACATCTTTTCTAAATCAGGGAAAAGGCCCAAATTTTGTCATCTTTCCTCACAGGGGAGTTGCTCCAACTCCTAGATCGTTTTTAAAAATAAACTTTTATCAACACTTTTCATAACCCCCCTAAGACCACATATCTAGAACCATGTTGCTCTTTTCAGCACTTTCCCCACTTGTCATAACCCCACCCCCCAGGAAAAAAATAAATGCTTTGCTCACTTCCGTGGGGCTCAACTGCTGGTCTCCCACATACGTTGTATTGAGATGATAATGTGATTGTCCAATTGTGCTCATGTGAATAGTATGGGTCACCTGGAAGAAGGAAAAAAGATGCACTCTGTTGATGGAAGAGAGTCTTATCGTCTTTGAGAAATGAACACCATGATCCAGCAGACAGCTCATACTCCAGGCTTGGGAGCTCTGGGATCTGTTAAGACTGGGTGCCACCGTTGGTCAGCACAAAAATACAGGTAGCACAGAGTATGTTTTAGAATAGGCGGTCCCTTCACACAGAACCTGTTGTACAGTAAAATTTTATCGGGTTCGCTGGGTTGCAATGGCAAACATAGAAACCTTATATGGAGATCCCCATCCATCAGCAAAAAAACAGATTCCCCCCCCCTATTATTCCAAAAAGAAACTCTCTGGAGAATTCCTTTGAGGAATCCATCCCTAGGCGAATTATTTTTTTGTTGACATCCATCTGTCTCGAGAGACAATGGAGTGGACCTCCAGGGGTGAAGTCTAAGCACTGCGTTAGCAGCACTGACGTGGTCTCCCAGGGTGTAAGTCTCTGCAGTGTGTATGGGGGTCCTGGGCTGCCCAGACAACAAGACCCTCCTCTTGGCCTTGCTGATGTGGTCCAAAGGAAAGCAGAACGAGACATTTGGCACCAGCTTGGCTGCAGGAGTTGCTGGAGGGAGGCGTAAAAGGTGCAACCCAACCGTCTTAGGGATTTCCATAAGGTTTACCCCATCGCTTTTTTTCTCCCGAAGATAGTGGAGCTTTAGGATCAGAAGTTTCCTTCTCCCATTGGACCCACTCTTTGTCCCATCTACTCAATCCTTCAGAGCCGGTCTTCGCGTGCAGGGGAAGCCCCTAACACATTGAGGGTTTGAAACCCACCGGCTCCCCTCACCTGGTTTAGCCAGCCAGTTGAAACCATTGCCAGGGTGTGGCCGCTGTCGCATGCTGTCAGCTTCTGGGAGCCACAGGTGAGATTTGAGTGCAGGCTGGGAACTAAAGGTGGACAAAAACTGCCCCAGAAAGCGGCACTACCCCTCCCCTTACACCTTACAGGGAGCAATATGGTAAATATTGAACAGTATTTCCCACTTCCCCCTTTTGCCTGCAAACCAGACGCTGTTCCGCTGTGCCACAGTGCTTCCCCTGGGAGCTGGACCCATTTCTCCACTTTATATGACTAAAAATAGCCAGCATGATTAATAGCGGCAAGGGTACGCACCTGAAAATGGCTGGTGAGGGATTTATTAATGATAAGCTTGACTCCTTCTGTCTGCTGGGGGAAGACTTCTGGAACAGAGGTAGGGAGGGAGAAGAGAGACAAAAGCAGTATTTAAGCTTACAAAATGAAGAATATGAATGATCCAGGAATTCCTAGACCAGAGATGGAGAACTTCAGCCCCAAGGGCCAGATGCGGCCCTCCAGTCCTCTCTACCTGGCCCTTGGCCCTCTCCCCAGGCCACACCCCTCTTGAGTCCTGCTTCACCCCCTCCTTGAGCGTTTTTGCCTGACTGGAATGCATCCTTGAACTCCCTTTATGCCTTTATGGATGATAGAAGTCCCTTTATGAACGATAGAAGTGTTTGTGAGCACATGGAAAAGCTAGTCAATTGTCCAAAGGCAAAATTGTTTTGCAGCCACATAAAGTGAGAGGTTTCTGCATGCACATATCTTTCCAACCTCCACCCAGCAAGCAAGAGGAATGATCATAGCTCAAGGACACATTTCTAGAGGATTACTACTATTATTATTAGTAGTAGTAGTAGTAGTATTAGTAGTAGTTGTAGTAGTACCCTGCCCATCTGACTGGGTTGCACCAGCCACTCTGGGTGGCTTCCAGAAAAACATTATACAGTGGTACCTCGGGTTAAGTACTTAATTCGTCCTGGAGGTCCGTTCTTAACCTGAAACTGTTCTTAACCTGAAGGACCACTTTAGCTAATGGGGCCTCCTGCTGCCGCTGTGCCGCTGGAGCACGATTTCTGTTCTCATCCTGAAGCAAAGTTCTTAACCTGAAGCACTATTTCTGGGTTAGCGGAGTGTCTAACCTGAAGCGTATGTAACCCGAGGTACCACTGTACAGTACTTAAAAAAAAAAAAAACCTTCCCTATAAAGGGCTGCCTTCAGGTGTCTTTTAAAAGTCAGATAAAACAAAAAAAATTCCTTCCAGTAGCACCTTAAAGACCAACTAAGTTAGTTCTTGGTATGAGCTTTCGTGTGCATGCACACGAAAGCTCATACCAAGAACTAACTTAGTTGGTCTTTAAGGTGCTACTGGAAGGAATTTTTTTTGTTTTGACTATGGCAGACCAACACGGCTACCCATCTGTAAAAGTCAGATAGTATTTATTTCCTTGACATCTGATGGGAGGGCGTTCCACAGGGCGGGTGCCACCACCGAGAAGGCCCTCTGCCTGGTTCCCTGTAACCTCACTCCTTGCAGGGAGGGAACCACCAGAAGCTCCTGGGAGCTGGACCTCAGTGTCCAGGCTGAACAATGGGGGTGGAGACGCTCCTTCAGGTATACCCGGCCGAGGCTATTTAGTTCTGTACCAACACTTTGAATTATGCTTGGAAACATACTGGAAGCCATTGTAGTTCTTTCAGGACCGGTGTGATATGGTCCCAGCAGCTGCTCCCAGTCACCAGTCTAACTGCAGCATTCTGGATTAGTTGTAGTTTCTGAGTCACCTTCAAAGGTAGAAAGCTGCCTTGTGTAGAGGCACTACTTATAAGGAACATAGGAATCTTCCTTATAAGTAGTCATTGTAGTTCGGTATGAATGAATTTCTCATGAATTTCAGCCGCGGGGAAGGAATGAAGAGGGAGATCATGCGGGCAACAGGGAAAGCTTCATGGGGTCTGGAAGTGTGCAGCGACTCCTGCTCTGACTGGCAGCAGCTCTCTGGGGTCTCAGGATGGGTCTTTCCTTTCCTCTCCCCTACTGGTCCTTTTTAATTGGAGATGCCAGGGACTGTACCAGGGGTCTCCTTCATGCGTAGCACATGCTCCACCCACAGAGCTATGGCCATTCTGCAACCACACAAAACTACTCAAGGAGGGTGCAGAGCAGGGTGGGGGCCAGCAGAGAAGTCCGAGGGCCAAACAGAGCAGACTGGACGGCAGCATTTGTCCCCACCCCAGCAATAGACCTTCATGAGGACTAGGGGGCTGCCTGCACCAAAGGCTTCATGAGAAAGGTGAGAGCTTTGAGGAGGGATGAGGAGGGATGAGCAAACGACGGCTTACCTTTGCATTTCCGATGGAGCTCATCGAAGCTGCCCGGGTTAGCAAGCGGCTCCTTCCGATGCGACCCCCGGCGCAGCCCAGGCAAAGGGGACAGCATGTTCCCCATGGCCCTCTAGAACCAGGCTAAGAAGCTTAGCTTCGGCCCATTGGTTTGGCGTTCGTTTGCTTTTTAAGGTAGAAATCTATTTATACGAACTCTTGCGTCCCACTTCCTGCCTCTCAGTTTAAAGAAAAGAAGAGAGTAACGCCGGGTTTTAAGCGGAGGAGCGCTTTAACACCAGCAGCCGCAGCCATGATGACCCCTCCCAACATCCCAGGACAACTCGCTTCTTCGGATATTTATTGCCAACGAGTTAACGAAGTTTCACAAGAAGCTTGCCAGGTCAGAGACATAAAGCGGGGCCTGGTTTGCGGGGTTTGCAAAGGAAGACAAAGGATGAGAGGGTTCTGAGCAGGGGGAAACCTGTCAGTGCATGTTTTGGATGCTCACGAGAGGCTTCTAAAGCAAGATCTGGAGCATGCACAGAAGAAGAAGAAGGGGAAGCTCGGATCATTGGGCACACACACACACAAAAAAAAACAGCAGGCAGCGTCCTGGCAAAAAGCGGGGGGAAGCTTGTGGTGGGGGGGAAATAAGGGGCATCAGCCAGAAACTAGACTCTAGCAAGAAACCCACTCTGTGATCTTGATGGGGGCAGCCATCTTGGGCCCCCCTTGACCCCACCCGCCCTCTTCCAGGAAGCGATTTTCAGCGGTTGAAGCCTGACATGCTTTCAGCGGCCATGTTTGAAACGGGCACGCGTGTAACACGCACACGCGCGGAGGAGAGGAAGCAAACAAGGGCTGTGATTGGATAGGAATGTTGCAATCGCTGTTGTTGTTTCCTTCTCCCCCGCCCGGAACTGTTCTGTGATTGGGTGAAAATGTTGCCGCCGCCTTCTTCCTTCCATTCAACATTCCGAAAGCGCCGCTCTGGCTTCAACCCGCTAAATTAGGGACATCTGTGGCTCTCCAGATGTTCTTCCATCTGGGCTCCTTGGGGAGGAAGGCTAAAATCCATGATTACTTTGGGATCTTACTTGGGGTCCCTTCTGAGTAGGCATGCATTGGATCGGGCTGCAAACACTGAGCGCAACGGGTTCACTTCGAAGTAAATGTTCACCCAGAGATTTTGCTCCTAATTGGTGTAATCTTTTAGCTGGGTGGGACACAATGTGTCCTTTTTATGCGATTGCAGGATGAGTGCTTTTAGTTAAAAGTGCCTTCTAATCTTTTGGTGGATTTTAATTTGGTATTGTATGCTTTTAAAAAGAAAAGGGAGGGAATCGTAGTCATTTTATTTATTGACATTTATATTCCTGCATTGCAGGGGGTTGGACTAAATGACCCTTAGGGAGGGGTCTCTTCCAACTCTACAATTCTAAAATCACAAGCAATTAGTGAGGGAGCTGCGAGATGGTGAGGCCAGGAAGTGTTGCTTAAATAAAGTCATAAGAACCAGGCAGAGAGGCTTTGAGGGCCACATTCAGATTGCAAGGTAACCCAAATAATAATAATAATTTATTATTTATACCCCGCCCATCTGGCTGGGTTTCCCCATCCACTCTAGGCGGCTTTCAACAAAATATTAAAATACAATAATATTGTTGTTGTTGTTTAGTCGTTTAGTCGTGTCCGACTCTTCGTGACCCCATGGACTAGAGCACGCCAGGCACCTCTGTCCTCCACTACCTCCCGCAGTTTGGTCAAACTCATGCTGGTAACCTCGAAAACACTATCCAACCATCTCGTCCTCTGTCGCCCCCTTCTCCTTGTGCCCTCCATCTTTCCCAGCATCAGTGTCTTCTCCAGGGAGTCTTCTCTTCTCATGAGGTGGCCAAAGTACTGGAGCCTCAGCTTCACGATCTGTCCTTCCAGTGAGCACTCAGGGCTGATTTGCTTAAGAATGGATGCGTTTGATCTTCTTGCAGTCCATGGGACTCTCAAGAGTCTTCTCCAGCACCATAATTCCATTATACAATAATCTATTAAACATTAAAAGCTTCCCTAAACAGGGCTGTCTTCAGATGTCTTCTAAAAGTCTGGTAGTTGTTTTTGACATCTGGTGGGAGGGTGTTCCACAGGGCGGGTGCCACTACCGAGAAGGCCCTCTGCCTGGTTCCCTGTAACTTGGCTTCTCGCAGTGAGGGAACTGCCAGAAGCCCTCGGCACTGGACCTCTGTATCCGGGCAGAACGATGGGGGTGGAGACGCTCCTTCAGGTATACTGGACCGAGGCTGTTTAGGGCTTTAAAGGCCAGCACCAGCACTTTGAATTGTGCTCAGAAACCCAGCATTTATTTTGGGGTGCAAGGGCAAAGAAACTTAAATTCGTGCCCTGCTGTGTCAAATAAGGAACCAGAATTTTGGAACCAAGTTCTGGTTCCTTAGAACACAAGGAGAGCCTGCTGGATCAGGTCAAGGGCCCATCTAGTCCAGCATCCTGTTCTTACAGTGGCCAAAGAGATGCCTCGGAGGGAAGCTTGCAAGCAGGACCAGAGCACAAGAGCCCTCTCCCTTGGATTCAGAAGCATCTGCCTCTGACCACAGAACCACCAAGGCTAGCAGCCATCAATAGCCGCCTGCATCATTTTGCCCAATCTTCTTTTAAAGCCTTCTCGGTTGCTGCCCATCACTGCCTCCCCTGGGAGCGAATTCCAACAGTTTAACTATGTGCTGCGTGACTGCCCTGCATTTGTCAACATTCAGTTTCACTGGACGTCTGAAGGTTCTAGTGTTATAGAAGGAGAGAGAGAGAGAGTGAAGCTTTTCGCTTTCCGCTTTCTCCATGTCAGGCATAAATTTTATGAACTTCAATCTTGTGGCGCAATGAGTCAGTGCACCCGGCTGTTAACCAGAAGGTCGGTGGTTCAAGCATTGCAGGGGTTAGTCTAGATCAGTGTTCCCCAACCTTGGGCCTCCAGCTGTTTTTGGACTACAGTTCCCATCATTCTTGACCACTGGTCTTGCTAGCGAGGGATGATGGGAGTTGTAGTCCAAAAACAGCTGGAGGCCCAAGGTTGGGGAACACTGGTCTAGATGACCCTCGGGGTCCCTTCGAACTCTACAGTTCTATGATTCTGTGCCACCACCTGCTCACCTTTTCGCTAAACTAAACAGTTCCAAAGGAAGCAACCTTTCCTTATGGGAGTAGCTCCATCTCCTTTATTATTTTAATTCATTCCCCCCCCCCCTTCTGGGAGCCTTCAGCTGTGCATTATTTTTTATGGCTGTTTTTTGATGGCTGACTGTTTCATTGATGTTAATATTCTGCATGGAATTAGGATGTTTAATATTATGTGGTGCTTGGGATTTGTTAACCCACGTGGTTTTCTTTTGGAAATTAGGCTTTTCTGTGTTTTTTCCCAAAATAAAATAAGACTTTTTTCCTGGAGCTACTTGGAGCTTTCAGAAAAATGCTTTCCAATTATTTCAGCTTGGATCAGGGTGATCTATTTATTTTATTTTTGTCAAATACTGCAGGGGTGATGATTGCTTAACTGAAGCCTTTGGACTGAAGAGCACACAGCGACTCTTCAAACACAGGGGCACATGATGTGCAGCAGTGACGGAAGAAGCAGGCTGAATGTGCCCACTATGTTTATGTACAATAGCCCCGGTGCCTGCCAACCCAATGGTTTGTAATGAACAATTTCCCAGAATTTTCGATGCTGGGGATGAAGCAAAAAGGGTTCCCTCCCCCCTCTTCTCCCTCATTCCTTCCCCCCGCCCGCTTGATTCAGGTTCATTACCCTCTTGCTTATGCTAATAAGAATATTTGGATTACGCAAACAGGTTCCTGAATTAAAAGCATTCTTCCGCTAGGGAAAGTATTCTTCAGCCCCCAAAAGCCTGGGTTAACAGGAACGCTGCCATATTCCTCCTGGTAATTATTAGTGATGGAGACAGGTGCACATCAGTAGGGAAGGCATTGCACAAATGGGGAGCCATCACTGAAAAGGCCCTGTTACAGGTCATTGCCAACTGGGCAGCCCCGGATGGCAGCAAGGCCTCACCTGTCGTGTCGTATCGTATCGTAAAACTTTTATTGGCATCACATACAACATCCAAAACAAATCAATACAGAATTACCAGTTCCCCAGTGGCACAAAACATTTACTAAGAGGAAGGAGGCAGAGCAGTCTATCGTCATATCTCTTGGTCTCCAGGGAGATCAGACGTCTGCAGTGTATTTCGATGACAAAAAACCAAACAGAGATATTTAGCCACTAACTTGGGGCTTCACCTGTCGATCGTAGAGTTCGAGATGGAAGGTGCTGTTGATCGTCAGGTGTTGAAGGCCTAGGAGCCCTTCTGCAGGGGGAGAGTTGAAATCCTGATGTGTTTAATAGTTTTCATAGTTATTCGCTGATGTCTCCTGTTTGTTTGTTTCACACACACACAGATAGCCAAGCACATTGGGATGTAAGAAGTAGTACCGTATTTTTTGCTCTATAAGACTCACTTTTTCCCTCCTAAAAAGTAAGGGGAAATGTGTGTGCGTCTTATGGAGCGAATGCAGGCTGCGCAGCTATCCCAGAAGCCAGAACAGCAAGAGGGATCGCTGCTTGTGGTCTGGTGCGTCTTATAGAGCGAAAAATGTGGTGTTTTTTGGAGTCAGACCATTGCTTCTACTGACCATTGCTTCTACTGATAGTATCTATCCAGGGTTTCAGTAAAGGATTTCTCCCAGCCTTACCTGGACGATGGAAACCAGGACCTTCTGCATGCATACTAGATGGCCTGCCCACTGAGGTACAGTCCTTCACGTGCTCTGAGCACAAATGCTCACTCTTTTAAGCGGGCAGGTCCCGTCCCACCGCGCCCCCAAGTAGAAGAGGAACTTTGGGCGTGGTCTTTTTTGAAAAATTGCTTGTTTTGCAAACGTACACAAGTTTTTTGAAAAGCAATTTTTGAAAAGCAATTTTTGAAAAATTGCTTGTTTTGCAAACGTACACAAGTTGACCAAGATGAAAGAGTACAGAAGCAAGCACACAGGCTGTGCCAGTTTGAGAGTCGTGTATTATTCCCCAAGCCTGCCTGAGTCTTAGGGCCTGTCCCTAACTAACGTGGATTGTGAACCACTCCTGCAAAAACCCAGAGATTCCCTGTATCCTGAAAAATCCGAACAGCAAAGCCACATCCATTGCAAAGGGAAATCTCTGGACTTGAAGAGGAGAAAAGTCTAGGGCAGCAGTAGTAGAATGAGGGGGAATTAAGGGAGGCCAGCTTTGCGAACAGCAAATTACTTGAACCTGTGGTTCTCAAAGGGTTTGGTGTGCCACACTGATGTGGCAGGAGAGGTGGTGGGAAGGTTCAAGGACAAGCAAAGAAACATTTCAACATAGCATAGTATCAAAATAATTGTTTTTATTTGCAGGAAATGGATAGATGTCTTTTCAAAATGAGAGCAAGAACATCAAGTTAAACTGCAAGCTCACACCTCTCACTGAGTTTGTATACATACTTAAGGTACACATGTAAGAGGCTTGTTTATAATTATATTTTGGGAGTGATCCTTATGTACCTGCATTGTTTCATACTTTCTGGCTGTCCCACGATCCTATTACAGTGGTACCTCGGGTTACATACGCTTCAGGTTACAGACTCCGCTAACCCAGAAATAGTACCTCGGGTTAAGAACTTTGCTTCAGGATGAGAACAGAAATCGTGCTCTGGCGGCGAGGCAGCAGCAGGAGGCCTCATTAGCTAAAGTGGTGCTTCAGGTTAAGAACAGTTTCAGGTTAAGAACAGACCTCTAGAATGAATTAAGTACTTAACCCGAGGTACCACTGTATAAAGGTAGTTTGTGTTCTACCGTATGTTCTAAATCAAGCACTGCTAGTTGCTGTTTCTTTTTGTTTCCCAACGTATTTGTTACCAATAAAAAATTCAGTGTGGCACGAGCTAATTCTTATTCCGAAAGTGTGGAGCTTAAGAATCACTGGCTTAAACCATTCCTCCATAAAACCTTTATTTGCAACTCCAAGCAAAACTACGGTTGCACATTCCATGTGAGGTCAAAGGGAAAGATGCCAAAGATTTGGATTTCGGTTGTTGTTGTCTACCTGTTTGCCTGACAGGTTTCCCCCACAGACCAGGTCTACTGAGTTTCTTAAGGACCTCTTTACACGTCCTGGACTCCCGGCTTCCTTTTCTGCTGACACTGTTTTTCCCCCTTTGTCTACTTCCACATCTGCCCCTATTAGTCAACCTGACATGTTGGAGGTTAATGTCCAGCGATAAGATTAGAGCCAAACTCTGTCCTTCACCTCCCAGCCATTAAACCCTGGCCAGCCTCATGTGAGCTGAGAAGACCTTTTATGCTGCCAATTCTCGTTGTAGACTGAAATCTACAGGAGCCTGGCTAAAGAAACTTTAAAGACTGAATCTTCCTTTTGGACACAATTTGAATGAGTTTTCAGTTTGTGGCTTTTGTAGTAGATCTTGTACCTTGTTCTCTCAATTTTTGGATTATTAATATAAGATTTAGAACGTAGAATGGTTTGGTAGTGTTTTGTGTGCTGCTTAGATGCTGCCTACTTCATATCAGTCTCCAAATGTGGGCAGCCAATGGTCACATCCACAGGATGCATTTACAGTGGTACCTCGGGTTAAGAACTTAATTCGTTCTGGAGGTCTGTTCTTAACCTGAAACTGTTCTTAACCTGAGGTACCACTTTAGCCAATGGGGCCTCCTGCTGCCGCCATGCCGCCGGAGCACGATTTCTGTTCTCATCCTGAAGCAAAGTTCTTAACCTGAAGCAATATTGCTGGGTTAGCGGAGTCTGTAACCTGAAGCATATGTAACCTGAGGTACCACTGTATAACATTCTTATGCCACTTTAGCAGTCACGCCATCCTGCAAAGAATCATGGGAACTGCAGGTTTGTTACAGAGCGACAGTTCCCAGGGAACTCTGGGAATGGTAGCTAGCTCTGAGAGGGAACTAGGGGTCTCCTCACAACTCTTCCCTCCTCATCAGTTGGCAACTGATGAGGGAGGAAGATTCTAACACCAGAGGTGCACACACAGCATTTAAACGAAGAATTGTTTAGCAGAGCTCGCTCCAGTTCAGCTGCAGGAGATGCTAGGGTTGCCACCTTCCCACCCCCAACAAAGCTCCCATGCTTTTAACAGCAGTCACAGTAGGCAAATTCAGCAAGATAAAACTTTTCCTGGCATGGAAATGAATGGGGGGAGTTGAGGGGAAAGATGCAGAATTTGTTTCTTTTTATTGTCGGGACCATTTATTTATTTTTAAGTCGTTAACCTTAGGAAAGTTATTGAAGCATCATTTTTATCTGTCATGTGACAAACTTACTGTTCTGTACTGAAGTTCTCACCCTGGGCCAGCAGGGGGATACTGTAGATAGTTATGCAAATGAAGGATCGAAAAGTGACGTTCAGTGATTGGATAGTTTGTATGCAAATGAAGGATCGAAAGTGACATTCAGTGATTGGATAGTTTTAGAAAATGGCAACAGTTACATTGTTCTGGAGCTCTATATAAGCAGGCTGACTGAGCTCCTCAGTTCAGTTCTGTTCCAGCTTACAAATAAAGAGCTGCCTTGGAAGAATCGCTGTGTCGTCTGATATGTTCGCCCACAACTTAACACTTACTATGTACACAAAACACTTTGTTCAGTTTTGGTCGCCCCACCTCAGTTGTTTTTATAAAAGGTTCAGAAAAGCACAGCCAAAATGTTCAGGGGGTGGAGCCGCCACTCTGTGAGGAACGATGACAACATTTGGGTTTGGGGTTTTTTAGCTTAGAAAAGATGTATAACACTACTCTATTGAGGGGGAATCAAATTGAGGCCAGGCTCCTTCTGCACTTTACATTTAAAGCTGTATTGTATTACTTTAAACAAACATGGCTCCCCCCCAACCAAGGAATGCTGGGAACTGTCTGCAGTTTGCTAAGGATGCTGGGAGTTTTTCAGAGATGCCTGCTCCTTTCACAGAGCTACTGTTTCAGAGTGGATTAATAATCAACCCCTCTTCAGGAGAAACTCTGGGAACTGTAGCGTTGTGAGGGGGGGTCTCCTAATCACTCTCTGTGTATTTTGCAATCTACAGTTCCCAGGATTCTTGGGGGGGGGATACGTGACTGTTTAAATACTCCTTGAATACTCCTTTAAATGTTTGGTGCAGGTGGGGCCTGGGTAGTTTTTCTCCTTCTTGTGTAGTACTAGAACTCAGAATCATGCAATGGAGCTGAAAGTTGGAAGATTAAGGAGTGGACAGACAAAATGAAGCATATGCCGTATTTTTTGCCCTATAAGACGCACCAGACCATAAGGCGCACCTAGTTTTTGGAGGAGGAAAACAATAAAAAATAATATTCTGAATCTCAGAAGCCAGAACAGCAAGAGGGATCGCTGCGCAGTGAAAGCAGCAATCCCTCTTGCTGTTCTGGCTTCTGGGATAGCTGCACAGCCTGCATTCGCTCCATAAGACGCACACACATTTCCCCTTACTTTTTGGGAGGGGAAATGTGAGTCTTATAGAGCAAAAAATACGGTAGTTAAAACTCTTGTGATTCCCTGACTGTACAAGGGGGTTAGAAAAATTAATGGATGTTTATGGCTATTAGACAGTACAGTAACGTTTCTGAATACCAATCGTTCAGCTTTTAGCCTGATCCACTGCAGCTGGGCTCTTCTGTTCTTACTATCCCTACACAACGTCCTTGTAAGGTCGGCCAGGATCATGAAAAAGGAGGAAGCCAAAACTGCAAACGTTACTCTAGATGTGACTGCACCAAAGGTTTATATGAGGGCGTTTGCCTCAAACCAGGGCTTGCATTCTGCATTAACTCTGATATGGCCACGATTCCTTTGCCCACACTAAATGTTATCACTGAAGTAAGTGGGGGCCTCTGTGTGTACTTAACCCTTAGACCCCGAAGCTGTTGACATGGGAATTGCCTTAGTTAGCAGTTGCAGAAATCGCACATTGCACTTCCAAGAGGGACAGTTGATGTGGTGGCAGGTTGAAGGGGAGGAGGAGGAACGGGACGGGACACAAGCACCAATCACCAGGGAGAATAGATCGGGTGAAACAGGCTGGTCTTTTGATGCCCTATATAAGAGCCTACAACTGCAAACTAACAATCACTTCTATGTTGACTGGCTCCTTGTAATTGATCTTTTGGGTAAGAATGAATTGACTTTATTTTATTTAAGAAGAAAGGGTTTGGGGTGGGGTGGAGCAATGGAATTGTCACTTTACCCCCCGGCAGAAATATTGAAACTTTACCAGCTATGTGACACAGGCAGAAATCCAACCGGTGGAGCTTCTGTTAATAGAGCTTGACTTTTTGTATGGATTACGGCAGAATTCAAGTGAATCCACAAGCCCTGCTCTTGAAACCTTGGTGTGTGGGGGCACTTGTTCTTTCAGTGGGCGGGTGAAAAACACACTCTCCTGGGTGTTCATATAGGTCTGAGGTGTGGCAGTTGTGCAACGGATGTCAAAGCACAGAATTAAGCCCCGCTGAGGTGCTGGGGGCAACTGCCCCAGTTTAATTTGAGCCTGTTCTCAAGAGGGGAAGAAGGTGTCAAGGGTGGAGCGGTAGAAGGATGGGAAAGTAGAAAACCTAAAAGGAAGCTGGTGACAAATGTGAAACAGAGGGGTTGTCCCTGACAATAGTTGTTGTTTGGCTACTCCTAGGCTGCAACAAAGGGTTGCAGCGTGAAGTGCTCTGATTTGGGATAAACCGCTTCCGTTCCGTTCCCAACAGTCAGTCTGCATTCTCAGTCCTCAGCTGCTGCTACTGGTGTTTCCTGTAGACTCCTCCCCCCCCCCGCACAATGTTTTCTTTATTTCTGCAAACCTTGGGGGCTCCCCCAGCCTGCTGATAATACGCCCCTCGTGCTAGGGTTGCCATACGCCCTGAATTTCCCGGACATAGATGGGATTTGGCAGTCAGAAACATTGTCCGGGCGAAAATCGCTTAAATGTCCAGGAAAATCCAGACATATGTTGGAAATGTAGATTTTGGCGAATTTCCTTTTTAAAAAAAAGCTTTAAAAAACTCTACACTGGTCCCACCTTGGCTGCTTAAGCACCTGAACTAAGGGAAGTGAAATTACTATTGTTCGATATTCAACACCACCAATGTACATTTTAATTTTTCATTTAGAAAGATTCTGTGGCACCTTTCTGAGTTTGGGATTTCTAAATTACTTTTATTACGTCTGGGTGGTAGACGTAGATGGGTACAGCTCTCTCCTCCCTTTGTCCCCCCTCCCTTCCAACACCTTTAGCTGTTCAGCCTCCTCTCTAACACAGGCACTGCGGCCTTCAAGAATGGCTGCTCTCTATTGACCAAAAAGGAGGGATACAATAGTTTCTAGTCCTCATGAAAAGTTTTGGTTTTTTTAAAGCGTGCCATGCAGTTGGGCAGAAAACGTGAAGTGGTTTTTTGGGAGGAGGGGGGAATTGGTCACAAAGTTCACATATTTACTATATTCTTTGTTTTTAAAACAGTAAAGTATTTAACAAGCAAGAAAACAGAAAAACCTGCCTCACGAAAAACCTGAGAATTCACTTGGCCAACTAAGTCTATACCAGGGTTTCCCAAATTTGGGTCTCCAGCTGCTTTTGGACTACAACTCCTATCATCCCTAGCTAGCGGGACCCAGTGGTCAGGGATGATGGGAATCGTAGTCCAAAATCAGCTGGAGACCCAAGTTTGGAAAACCCTGCACTATACCTTTACAGCAATGCTTCTATCAAACTATATGATATAGTGGGCCATCATTTTCCCCCAGCCTCAATGTGCCAGGGACTGGCACCATATTTGGTCTCTGAAGCTTCCTACCCAACCTGAGCTGTGGGAGGGTTTACGTGGCCTTTGAGCTGATAGCTTGTGGACTGCCAATGGTTTGTGGGCCATCGCTTTGAGTACTACATTCTTTCCTCCCAGAGAATTCTGGGCACTGTAGTTGACCCCTCAGGGAGCTTCAGTTCCCAGTAACTCTTTTCGAACTACAATTCCCAGGATTCTTTGAGGAAAGCCACATGTCAAATGTACACTGTGGGGGTAGCCTGCGTACACACAATGCCCTCAAATCACATCTTCTCTCTCAAGGAATTCTGGGCACAGGACTTCACCCCTCACAGAATTCCCAGTAATTCCCTTAACAAACTACAGTGCCCAGAATTCTTTGAGGGGGGGGATGTGCTTTGAATGTGCTTTAAAGGTATAGTGTGTACGAATCAAGCCGTAGAGTGCGTGGGCTTGGTCTTGCTTCCTCTCCTCTTTTCTCACAACCTCTCCCCGTCCTCCCTTTCCCCCCAGAAAGTAAAGGAGTGCTCCAAGCGTGCCAAAATGAAGGTGTTCGCTCTCGCAATCCTCTTGGTCAGCGTCTGCTGCATGGAAGGTACTGTGGGGCAAGGGGGCTGGCAGCGTTCTTCATTGCAAACTGTGAGGGAATCAAAGAGTGCTTCCAGGTGGAACTTAATTTGCAAACATAATAATAATAATAATAATAATAATAATAATAATAATAATAATAATAATAATTTATTATTTATATCCCGCCCATCTGGCTGAGTTTCCCCAGCCACTCTGGGCGGCTTCCAATCGAGTGTTAAAAAAAATACAGCATTAAATATTAAAAACTTCCCTAAACAGGGCTGCCTTCAGATGTCTTTTAAAGATAAGATAGCTGCTTATTTCCTTCACATCTGAAGGGAGGGTGTTCCACAGGCCGGGTGCCACTACCAAGAAGGCCCTCTGTCTGGTTCCCTGTAACCTCACTTCTCCCAGTGAGGGAACCGCCAGAAGGCCCTCGGCGCTGGACCTCAGTGTCTGGGATGAGCGATGTGGGTGGAGACGCTCCTTCAGGTCATTGGCAACAGTTGAGGGTGGGTGTTTGTTTTCCACTTATTCATTTTTCTCCGGTATTGTTCCATCTGGACTGAACTTCGAACGACACAGTGTGGACACAGGAGAGAGGATACTGCATGCGTGAGGAGCAGAGCTGAAGCTCTCTAGATAGAGCATTTGCCTTGCATGCAGAAGGTCCCTGGTTCAGTCCCCAAGGACATCTCCGAGAGCCCAGGGAGTGTGGTGGGATGACAGTGAGTGGTGAGAGGGAGGAGAGGGAGAAGACTGGGAAGAGGAGGTGCTGGAACTGGAAGGGTAACAGGGCTTAGTGAGCTGGAGAGTCTGTGGCAGACAGAAGTCCAGAATCAGAGGCAGAAGCAGGAGAGGTTGGAGGAGAGAGGCCAAGATGAATCAGGCCTGTGAAGGTCATGGGGGACTCCCGTCTTGCTGCAACAAGCTCTGGTCTCCTAGACAGTGTTTCCCACTCTGTGCCTCCCAGCTTATTTTGGACTACAATTCCATCATCCTTGCCACTGGTCTGCTAGTCAGGGGATGATGGGAGTTGTAAGTATCAAACAGCTGGAGCGCACAAGGTGGGGAAACACTGTCCCTAGAACCAGAAGCAGGCATGGAGGATGGAAGGAAGCAAGACAGACTGGTGCCGGCCTCAGTCTCTGATTGCTTGGAGGGGGAAACCCTGGTGGGGAGAAGACCTAGACGATTGTGGGGAGGCAGGAACCTTTAGTTTCAGCAATTGATTCATGGGGGGGCAAAACACCTGGAGGTAGGCTCCTATGTTCCTTAGGCCTGTTACTCAGCCAAGTCTTTGCAGATCCTGTTCTTGCTAATAAAGCTTTAACTCCAACATGCACTGTGTGATTTACTGCTGGCTCGCTCCTGTCGTTCAGGTAGGTCTGAGAGGAACCCCTGGAGTGTCACTGACAGTCAGTGAAGATGATACTGAGCTAGTTGGTCTGATTCAGTATGAGGCAGCTCCCTTTGAACTAAGAGGGTGTACTGGTTAATGGCTTTCCCCTTTGTACTGTCGAGTGACCCCCTATTTATGAGTCTCCCCGTGTCCTTGCAGGGACTGTGGTCAGACGGCAGGCGGAACAGGCTCCAGCCCCGGCTTCTGATGTCGTGCAGCAAGTGCAGAGCTACCTTAATAGCTTATCTGACTACTTCAAAAAGGAACTCGTGCCACAAGAGAAGATAGAGGAATTCAAGGCCCAGACAATGTAAGAGCTCCTTCCCCCACTCACATCTTTCTTTCTTTTTAAATGTATTTTTATTAAAAGTCCAACAATTCAGAAAGACAGACAGAACGAAAGGCGATTGAGCATGGTCAGGTAAGGAGATGAAGCATTAAAAACATAGCTTGTACAAAAGAGGCAATATTTCGATTCAAGGCAAAAACAGCGGATCAAATACACATATAAATGAAACAGCGCCAGATCCAATCGCATTTCAACTGAAATGGGGTGAGGACCCTTTTTATACAATCCTAAAAAAAACTCTGGATCAGGTAACCTTCTCCTCCACTGCCCACTAAAGGCACCAAAATCTACACATGGAACCTGGTTACTTTTACCAAGGCCTGATGGTTATTGGCTGGTGGTGAATCAGAGACTGGCTTTTTCCCTGCTAGCAGTTGTGGAATGCAATCTCCCTGCTGATATATGAGATGCTCCATCTGCATTGGCATGCTGCCGGCTTTCGAAGATACTTATTTATACAGGCATTCCCTTATTCTCTCAGCCTGAGCCTCTTGTTTTAATTGCAGTTTCATTTTAATGGGATTGTTTCATTTCACATGTTAATTGCGGTCATTTATATATTAATGTTTCAGCTGGATTGTTTTACCATGCATTTAAATTACACCGAATTTTAAACAATTAGTCTGTATTTTAACAATACACACAGGTCCCGCTATCAGAATGCTCCTTATCTACAAATTCCAAACATAAAGAATTATGCCCAAAGAACAGCTGAATCAGATATGGGAACATCTGGAGTTTGCCCACTTCCTTACTTGTTTGTGCTTTGCTGGTCAGTCACAGCCATTTTGGGGCAGAAAGCATGGAAAAGGGGAACAGGCAGAGAGAAGGGATAAATCAGTTTTTCCTTTGTCTCTCTTTTGCTGGTTGGCTGCGGCCATTTCAGGATGGAACCGTGGAGTGAGAGAGAAGACAGATTGGACAAATCACGGATCAGAAATGTTCCCATGGGAAATATTGGAAATTGTCGTTATGCAAACTCTTGCCCAACGAACAATTTCCTGAGGAACGCATTGCATTCTGAAAACTGCATGTACTGTACTGTGCAGTTGGTTCTTACGTTTTGTAAACTGCTTAGAAGCAATCTGGGCATATATATGTAATTAATTAACTCATAATCGGCAGTATGGCTAGGAATGTAACCGCTATGCACTGGGGCAGTCTATCCAAAGAACAGCTACTGAGGACTACCAGAAAAAAGGGGGGAGCCATTTGCCTTCATGCTCTGCTTGTTGGCTTCCCAAAAGTGTCCGTCATATCACTGTTGGAAATGGATAGGATTAGAGCAGGCACCCCCAAATTCAGCCCTCCAGATGTTTTGGGACTACAACTCCCACCATCCCTGACCACTGGTCCTGTTAGCTAAGGGTGATGGGAGTTGTAGTCCCAAAACATCTGGAGGGCCGAGTATGGGGGTGCTTGGATTAGAGGGAAGCCCTTGGCCTGATCCATTTGTTGATTCTTTTATTCGTCCGTTTATTCATTCTGACAGGGCTTACGTGCAGCGGGCACAAGAGCATGTGACTCCTATGGCTGAACAACTCAGGGACCAGGCTACCGAGTTCTTCTCCAGCCTTTTGAGTACCATCCAGAAAAAGACCAAGTAAAGTAGTGGAAGCTGCGTTCAGAGAGGCTCCGTCCTCATCATCTGCTGAAAAGGAAACTAGGGAAAATCTAGCACCTTCTTGTAATCCAAAGACTGGCTGGATCTCACTCTGGTTGTAATAAAGGCGCCTTATTCTCTAAGTGTGTGCGTGTGTACATGTGTCTGGGTTTTGATACAGGCAGAGCATCCAAGATATTGCATGTCCACTCCACTTAAAATGGCCAGCAATGGGGTGGGTGCCAAATGGGGACCCCGAAGCCCCCTCCATGTTCATCTTTTTCTTGTATACCATGCACAGTTCCCTGCCCCACTGGTACGTCATCCCAGTTTGCTGTTCCTCAAGCTGCTGTAATGAGCTTCAACTATTTAAACAACAACAACAACAACACTTGATTAAAAACCACACTGTAAATTTAAAGTACTGTACTTTTCTGTGTAGGGACGCGGGTGGCGCTGTGGGTAAAAGCCTCAGCGCCTAGGGCTTGCCGATCGAAAGGTCGGCAGTTCGAATCCCCGCGGCGGGGTGCGCTCCTGTTGTTCGGTCCCAGCGCCTGCCAACCTAGCAATTCGAAAGCACCCCCGGGTGCAAGTAGATAAATAGGGACCGTTTACTAGCGGGAAGGTAAACGGCGTTTCCGTGTGCGGCTCTGGCTTGCCAGATGCAGCTTTGTCACGCTGGCCACGTGACCCGGAAGTGTCTGCAGACAGCGCTGGCTCCCGGCCTCTTGAGTAAGATGGGCGCACAACCCTAGAGTCTGTCAAGATTGGCCCGTACGGGCAGGGGTACCTTTACCTTTACCTTTACTTTTCTGTGTATAATACTAGGTGTTTTTTTTTTTACTTTAAAATAAGGTTAGAAATCTGGGGGCGTCTTATACATGGATTGTGCATGTGCCCATTTTCTAAATTTGGGGTCCCCAAAAGTAGGGGGCGTCTTATACACAGAAAAATACAGTACATTTAACACACATCCCAAGGTAGACTGGCACTGTACACTGAAGGTTCTATTCTGAACAATGCTACAAGAGCCCCCCCCCCCCCGCCAAACAGAGGAAAGGGCTCTTTCCTCCAGCTTCCTCTTTCCCACAGTGGTCAGGCAAGCCTGCAAGCAGGACTTGAAGACAACTGCCTACTGGCGGAGGAACAGGGGTGCGGAGGGAGCAGACATGTGAAAAGGATCTAGGAGTCTTGGTTGACCACAAACTTGACATGAGCCAACAGTGTGACGCGGCAGCTAAAAAAGCCAATGCAATTCTGGGCTGCATCAATAGGAGTATAGCATCTAGATCAAGGGAAGTAATAGTGCCACTGTATTCTGCTCTGGTCAGACCTCACCTGGAGTACTGTGTCCAGTTCTGGGCACCACAATTCAAGAAGGACACTGACAAACTGGAACGTGTCCAGAGGAGGGCAACCAAAATGATCAAAGGCCTGGAAACGATGCCTTGAGAACGGCTAAGGGAGCTGGGCTTGTTTAGCCTGGAGAAGAGGAGGTTAAGGGGTGATATGATAGCCATGTTCAAATATATAAACGGATGTCATATAGAGGAGGGAGAAAGGTTGTTTTCTGCTGCTCCAGAGAAGCGGACACGGAGCAATGGATCCAAACTACAAGAAAGAAGATTCCACCTAAACATTAGGAAGAACTTCCTGACAGTAAGAGCTGTTTGACAGTGGAATTTGCTGCCAAGGAGTGTGGTGGAGTCTCCTACTTTGGAGGTCTTTAAGCAGAGGCTTGACAACCATATGTCAGGAGTGCTCTGATGGTGTTTCCTGCTTGGCAGGGGGTTGGACTCGATGGCCCTTGTGGTCTATTCCAACTCTATGATTCTATGACCGTCCCTGGCACCACTATTCCAGTAGGGTGCCATCGCAGCGCCCCCCCCGACATGCGCTGCGCCCCCCCGGCGTGCCACACCCCCAGAACGTGTGCCACGCCCCCCCGCCTGCTCTCCGCCCCTGGTAGCAGAGCATGCAGCTTCGCCACTGCAACTGCCCTCTGCCGATATTGTTCACTAAGGTAGAGTTTGCTCTTATCCAGCAAACGCTCCGTTTGTTTAATATAAAACACACACTATTTAAATTGGAAGCACCCAGTGTGATTTACAAACTGGGGATTAAACAACATCTTTAAAATACACTGCTGGGAGGGAGAGGTCAGTTAGTAGAGCATAAGACTCTTAATCTCAGAACCGTTAGGGTTGCTGTATTTCAGAAAGTGAAAATCCGGTCACAAAAGGGGGGGGGGTGTCAAAGTTGTTAAGCTTTTTTTTTGGCAAAAAATAAAAAATAAAATTCAGCAGCGAAACCCACTTACAACATGGATTGCCATATGTCCAGGTTTTCATGGACATTTACAATGGACGTTGAAAATTCTGCCAGGATGCCGTTTTGGAAGCCAAATCCCGGCGATGTCTGGGATTTTTTGGACGTATGGCAGCCCTAAAAGGTAAAGGTACCCCTGCCCGGTACGGGCCAGTCTTGACAGACTCTAGGGTTGTGCGCCCATCTCACTCAAGAGGCCGGGGGCCAGCGCTGTCCGCAGACACTTCCGGGTCACGTGGCCAGTGTGACAACGCTGCTCTGGCGAGCCAGAGCCGCACACGGAAACGCCATTTACCTTCCCGCTAGAAAGCGGTCCCTATTTATCTACTTGCACCCGGGGGTGCTTTCGAACTGCTAGGTTGGCAGGCGCTGGGACCAAGCGACAGGAGCGCACCCCGCAGCGGGGATTCGAACCGCCGACCTTTCGATCGGCAAGCCCTAGGCGCTGAGGCTTTAACCCACAGCGCCACCCGCAGCCCTAAGAGTCATTAATTTGAGCCCCACATTGTGCAGAAGATTCCTGCATTGCAGGGGGTTGAACTAAATGACCCTCATGGTCCTTCCAGCTCTATAATTCTCTATGTATATTCCTGCACAGCAGAGGTTTTCAACTGTTTTGAGTCCATGGCTTCCTTGGCCAATTACGGTACATTTTTTCTGTGGCACCCCTGTGAGGCTGGCAGCCTCTCGCTTTTTCCCCCGAACACCCCCCCTTGTGGAGTGTTCCCTCAGCCTCCTCTCCTCTCCCCTCTCCTTGGGAGTCCTCTTTTGCTGCCTTCCCCAGTCTTTTAGCTGCCCCCTGCCCCAAAGAGATGTGCCTCCTCACACTGTCCAGTCCCAACAACAAGGGCTGGAGGACTGGCTGGCTGGGCTCCCTTGCCTGCTTGCTTGCTTACTCCAAGGCTGCCTCAGCTTCTGGCAACCAGCACCCCCTGGCCAGCCCCAGAGTCACCATTCGCCTAAGGAGCTTGTAGCCAGGGCTGCTGCAACAAACAGCTGTGCAAGCCTTTGGGAGGCAGAGACACAAGAAGGAATCAGAGGAGGGAGGGAAGGAAAGAGGGACAGAGGCCAGTGTTGCCTGCAGCACCCCTGACCAACATTTAAGGCACCCTAGTTGAAAACCTGCAGATCACTGCAGATGGTGACAGCAGTCACGAAATTAAAAGACGCCTGCTCCTTGGGAGAAAGGCGATGGCAAACCTAGACAGCATCTTAAAAAGCAGAGACATCACCTTGCTAACAAAGGTCCGCATAGTTAAAGCCATGGTTTTCCCAGTAGTGATGTATGGAAGTGAGAGCTGGACCATAAAGAAGGCTGATCGCCGAAGAATTGATGCTTTTGAATTATGGTGCTGGAGAAGACTCTTGAGAGTCCCATGGACTGCAAGAAGATCAAACCTCTCCATTCTGAAGGAAATCAGCCCTGAGTGCTCACTGGAAGGACAGATCCTGAAGCTGAGACTCCAATACTTTGGCCACCTCATGAGAAGAGAAGACTCCCTGGAAAAGACCCTGATGTTGGGAAAATGGAGGGCACAAGGAGAAGGGGACGACAGAGGATGAGATGGTTGGATGGTGTTCTTGAAGCTACCAGCATGAGTTTGATCAAACTGCGGGAGGCAGTGGAAGACAGAAGTGCCTGGCGTGCTCTGGTCCATGGGGTCACGAAGAGTCGGACACGACTAAACGACTAAACAACAACAAAGTTGAAAACCACTGCTATACATGTAGCAGGAACCCCCCCCCCAATCATTCAGTTTGTACAAACTTCACACACACTCACACACTACATACGCTACACTTCTGTTATAAATTCATAGAAAATCAACCATACATCGGATTTGCACTGTTCCACTTTTATTTTACTCCATGAAGGAAGGACTACAAAATGGGAAAGGTTTGATACAGGGCACCCATAATCCCTTCAGCATACCAGCACATCCACAGGAGCCCTGCCCAGTTGCTATGCCAACCCTGATGGTCATAGACAGAAGACCATCAAGATCACAAAGAACTTACATATGGGAGTGGATTCAGCACAGACTGGAACAAAGGACAATGATCAGCCCTTCCCTCTGGGGGCAGGAAACTGCAAACTCCCCTCTGTCACCTGGAAAGTACTCATGGGGAGGGGGAAAGGGGGAACCAGCTAGGTGACAGGACACTCAGGTTACCACCACAACTCCTCCCTCAACCCCTCCTTCCTGTGATGTATGCATGATGTTTCTGGGGGTGGGCTTGATCTACAGGATGGGAATTTCAAAAGTTTTTATAAGGTCTTGCACACCATTTTTTCTGTGTCCTTCCTCTCTCCTGCAAGTGAGGGGAGCACCCTGTTGCAACAGTTCAATAAAGGCCAAGCCTACAGGCTGCTGTTTTGCTCCAAGTTATCCTGGTTGGTGTCTTTGTTTTTGTCCAAGGGAGCCCTCGGATTTTCCCGTTAACACCCGGAAGTTGTACGCCGGCTCCCTCGGCCTATAAAGCGAGATGAGCGCCGCAACCCCAGAGTCGGCCACGACTGGACCTAATGGTCAGGGGTCCCTTTAGCTTACATCAGATTTCAGAGAGCTTACAGTTTTGGACTACGACTCCCATGAGCCCCAACCAGCACACGACGACTGGGGCTTGATGGGAATTGTAGTCCAAAAGATCTGGAGGGCATTAGGGTGAGGCTGGCTGCTCCAAGCGCATGCGGCGGAGAGGAATCCGTCCGCTCTCCCAGTCCTTTGATGTTAGGTAAAAGTGGAATCCAAGGAAACCACAGCGCCCTAATTAAGCCACACAAGAAACAACTTCCACCAACAGCCTACATGGA